CCGGTGGCGCAGCAAAAGGACTTGCAAAGGAAACCAGAATAGCCCAAGGTCAATCGACTGGCATCGTTGGCCTTATTTACGTGGTGGGCAATATCACGCTTGATGGAGAATCTCTCTTCCAGGCGGTAGGCGGCGCTTACCCTCCTTTCATCAAAGTCAATAAGGTATGGCATAACCAGCACAACTGCTGTCATAGCGATCAAGTATTAATGACTTTGTTCCCAGCCATCCCAGGGCCTTGCTGTCATCGAACCGGCAATGGACGTGCTGTACAATGACTGCGACCGTGCCCTTCAACCGGAATTAGATACGCTAATGCAGCCACATGCACTCCGCGCTTTTGAAACTCCCGCCACCGCCCCAGCCTGGGCGGAGAGTGCCTTTGATGGTAGAAGGGCGTATGTACGTACCCTGGATGACTGTTGCAACCCTGCATCATTGCAGGATATATGGTTGGAGAAGTCCAAGGTTGAATGGGAGGTTGTGGATTTTAAGACCGGCCACATGCCATTTGTGAGCCAACCTCAGGCACTGGCAGAGCAGATTACCAAGTTTATCGATGGTTTTATTGCAAAGTAGATAGATCAATAGAGATCCCAAAGCTTGGCGTAAAGCTCACAATACACACCAGTCGATTTGGTCTGATTTATCTATCAATAGCTATTGACATCATTGCAATGTAATACGGGCTGTCTTAGCAAAAATAGCGGTCGTGGTGACAGCAGTGGCATTGCAATATAAGGTTAAATGTCTCGGGACACTCAGAGTTTCCAGAAATTCTAGAAGCGTTAGCTGCCTCAAGCTTTCAGCTAGTAATGTTCCATGGTATCTATGATATATATATTCTTCGTCCGTCTCCCTTCAAATAGTAGTTACCCTCCGATTGTTTCCAAGGCTGAAATCTCAGACTTTGAATGCCATGAATCACAATTCTTGAATTATAATGTTACACATCATTTAATCCCGAAGATCCGTCATAGACATTGTTTCATATAGAAAGTAGACGTGCTTGATGGGTGAGTCTCAAACATTAGATACTAGGATTTTTGTAGGTCGGTCGAGTTAGATTATGTAATCTGATGGCAACTAGTTAGGTTAGTTATTCCAAAGAAGACTTATCTCATCGTGGTACCTAGATAATCCCATCCAAAAAGAATCAAATCAGGTGTGAATAAGGCGAGGATCCTGAGACTTTTGGAACCTAGTATCGTAGTATTCAGGCATAATCCCTTGTAGAGCAAGCTTCCAGCCTTGCATACATGCTCTTATCCGTTAAACATATTATAGAAGAAAAAGGACAAGTACGTGTGCCATAGCGGGCGAGAGAATTGGTATTATTCGATGTATCCTAGCTTACACAATTTGTATAGCGGGTATAAACATTCCGCACATCAACACCACCTAGTGCTCTATGGTATCAACCTTCTTCGTCACCCAGACCAGCTTTGGGACCATGATAGAAGCACCATTCAAAGTCTCCATCATAGCGCTGTGCTCTAGACTTTTCGATGCCTCCGGGGTCTTAAGTGCGTGTTCTGCAAACTCTTTCCATGTGCTCACATATCTGTATGAATGTTAGGTATTCCCATAGACAGTTGGTTTTGTTCGCGGTTATAGCTTACACATCATTCCAGAACCGAGCATTACCAAGTCCGTACTCATAAGTATACAGCATTGAGCCAGTATATCCATTTTCGTCCATAATTCGCGTCAGGTCATATTTCCAGCTGCGTAAGAGATTAGTTCGCATTAGATCTTTCAAACATCTCTTTTGGGTACACTTACGTGTCATGTCCTTTAAGCTGAGAGAAGAGTGCATCAAGATTAGATGCTGAAGTCCCAGGCACGGTTTTGATGGAGCACCCAATGGTGTCGACTTCATCCCACTGAAGGTAGCCGCCGGGCTCTAAACCCGTGTATTGTCAGCCTAGCCATGAAAATGGATTTGAAGCACATACTCAGCAGTTTCTTCAAGTTTGCTAGAATCGGCCTGGGGTCGTTATTCTTGACAACGACAGTGATCAGACGAACGTGTACAATATCAAAGTAGCCTATGAACTCATCCGGCACTTCTTCAAAAACGTTCCAGATATGCATGTGTATATTTGCGGGTAGCCATGGCTTAGGGCCAACTTGGTCCAGGCTAATATCGAAGCCATGGAGATCAACTGACGGTGGTTTTCCACGAGCAAAATCCTGAAGCCAAATACTGAAAGAATTAGCTATGAAAACTTCGAAGCTTGGTAGGTTAATTTACCCGTTACCAGTAGCAATATCAGCGACTCTCAAATCCGCAGCCCGAGTATCAATATCGGGATGAACCAGGAACCCAAGTAGCTCTTTCCAAAGGTAATGCTGTGCGGTAAGTCTAGTTGAATGTTAGGAGAATACCTATTGACAATGTCCTGTCTAGACTAACCGAGTGTTTGCGTTACAATCACGCATCAATGCATAAGGATCCTTAGCTTTCACAGTTGTCCCATTCCAGCTGTTTGCTGTTGGCAGCTGTGGTGCATTGTTATTCTGTGGGATTCTCATTATGGTAGTGTGATCGGTGTATAGTAAAAGAATTGGAATGATCTGGTTGTAGTTCGAGTGATGGATTTCAGAGGAAACCAGCTGGTTCAGAAGCCAGCCTTTATACTAAAATGAGAACGCTGTGATGTAGAAAAGTACTGTTCGGTAACTTCTGGCATGGTACTGATGCCTACTAGCGCTCAAACTGCACACTAACTGTATCATAGAATGACTATCACATTTACATACAAGAAACACCAAGTGAAGCCTGACATCTACGAAGGCAAGGCAGATTCGGGACACTGTGGATCTGTGAACGGCCAAACGTGTGCTAAATTGCCTGTTCCAGGCATCCATACATTTTAAGCATATACAAGAATGCGGACGGTACAGTGTTCCGTGCATGCTGTGGCCATTTGTTGATCTTTACCCCCAATAGAGCGGGGCAATTATGGAGCACACTTCTTAGCGAAGGAACGATATGATTCGGCCCCAATCCTTGTTATGGACCGTTACAAAATGAACCCCACTCCGAGGTTGGCTGCTAACCCTCCTACTTATTATGGGGCGTTATAAATGGCCCCATGGTTAGTTTGCATGTTTGGCCCCCCGTTTGTCATAAGACGGCATAAATGGCCCCAACGGTTAAGTCGGCACCTTGGGCCTACCGGAAAAAACCATCCCAGGTTTCATTGTTTAATGAGATAATTTCTTTATTATATTCAAAGCAAAACAACCGGCTTCCAGGGGCAGTTGTAATAGCTGTATATGTATTTACTGAAATTTGTCTAGCGATGATGGCTGGCTTTTTTGGTGGATCTAGCCAAGGGTCTTGCACCCTCACCCCCGGAATCCCCGGCAATGACCCAAAGGAACACCGAAACCTCGGGCCACTGAGCAAAGACGGTCTTATACCATGATTGGTTGGTAAAGATTGTCAGAATCATCAGTGGGCCTTAAGAGGTCTTTTCGTTTATTCCGACTTTTTCAAAAACCTTGTATGATGACGGTGAACAGAATCGCTGATACACATGTAATACATTCACCACAGGTGGGCCGATACATCCCTCTAAGAATCTTTTCGCTTGAGTATCAGACATGTATTGGCCTGGTGACACCGGCTCCTCCCGCGTGGGAGGAGAGACACAATTTCATTCAATGACATGAAGGATTGGCGAGTTGAACAGGATCTGGGTGCACCGCAGACAGTAGGATCTTGAAGCAACCAGAGTGCATGCATAACCTAATTTACCTTATTCACAAGAGCACCTGTGGGAGGCATGACGCGAGGGATGCACTGTCTTTAATTCGGGAAACGGTAAATGTACGCTTATAAGATCAAAGGGGTATTTGGTATTAAATAAGCTGTCTAATCATTAATAAGGACACCTTGAGGTTTTTAGTTCAGAGAAAATATGGGTAATAACTTATTTCTCTTCCGTTGCCGAACTGTATTATAATATAGTACTTGCGTTGCTACTCTAGGTGAAGATTGTCCGTCGCTGATGGTGGTCATAATGCCTGACTTTGGCTGCAAAAGTGTTATCGCGTAGGGTGTGATTGCACACGACCATGTCAGAGCACAAATGAGAACACCTGATGATTATTTGGCAGAAGCTATACATCCTCACCAAAGGAATAGGGGCAGCCAGGTGGGCCTTTGATAGCTTATACTTGGCGTTTACACCGTCTGCAAGTAATCGTTTGTGGTAAAATCCCTCATCTCGCTCTCCTACTTCATGTATCTTGGGCGTTGACAGCTATTTCTCAGCCATGTATTCAAGATCAATAATTTGAGAGTCCATTCTATGACTTACTTTTTGACCATATAATTACTTTAACCTCTCTTATCACATAAGATATGTATCATATTGCAAGAACTAAATATATGGCTCTCCAAGTAACTTGTCTTATTAGTCGCCCGGAGTTTCTTGATACTCATACCTAGTATATCAGACCAGTGGAAAGAATCAAATAGTGCTATTCTCAAATTCGACCGGAAAGACAGCTTCCATGTATATTGAAACTAATACCTCCTGTTTGCTATGTCATTGAGAGTAGTTAGGATTTTGTGAGATGTTGTAGGAATAAATTTTATGTGAAGATATATTCCATCCTAATCTGTCCGGACATACCATGCTCACAGATAAATCCGAGCCCACCGCAATCTCTGACTGTTGAAATTCAATTTACGAAGTTTCCAAGTCATGGGTAAATATCCATTGCTCACTTGCACGATATTCAGAAAAGTCCAAAGTAGCTACGGTTTATTTTCAGCTGCTAGCGCCTGATGTCGAGAGATGGAGGCGGGATCATGATATGGAATCTCGCCGAGCGAAACAACACGGTTCCCCTGACGTTTACCCGTATAATCGCTGTTTTCATTAGTCCTTGATTTCTTATATGTCTAGCAGCATCACCCACTATGTGGCGGTATGAAACACCGACCGGCTACATTGTCCTTGGTTAGACTCTGTCTTTATTTATAATCGCGAGAGAATGCCCTTGTCCCAGACAGCTACGTCATTGACACCCCATTTGAAGCTGACTTGAAGGTCATGATTTTCAGCGATTAGCTGATGAACTGTAGTCGGTAAGGTTAAGTCCTGTTGCTCAAGTATTACTAGCGGAGGATACTCTTACAGTACGTTTTTAGAATCTGACTTTCGCGCCGGCTGACTCCTTCAATCCAGCCATGCTCCACTTGACCAGCTGCACCGAAAAGGCTCTTCCAGCCGGTGACTGGGTTTGTACAAACCACAGGGATAGGAAATTAGCAGTGATTACAGTCCAGACCTTCAAAACATACTGACTGGCCTTAAAGTTAAGGATTGTATTCTCTGAAGCGCCGCGGTCTCCTGCCAATTGTTCCATACCATGCTCTTTGACAATACTGGCGTAATGTTGCCGCGATGCGTCAGATGTACCCAGTGGTGAATATATTTCCCATGTAAGTCATACATGGTGATGGACAGCTCTCAAACCGTCGGCAAGCCTTTGCATAGGAGGTGAAAACCGATCGTACATCTTATGCCCGGATGCCCAGCCTGTATCACCACCTACTTCATCCTCCAGGACGCCGCGTAATTTTGAGAATGCAGTAGCCGCCGGTAACCCTCTCAAATGTGGTACTGTGATTTCCACTATTAGGAATGTGCCATATGTTTGGGCTGTACCTACGTACTCAGCATGCTAGCCTTCAGTAGCGAAACAATCCTCATATCGAGAATTGTAATGCCTGAGATTGACCTGCATAATTGCCAGTTTCAGTGTTATAAGGCAGGAATTTAGTGTACCTCAGAGGAGATTATGGTGATCTTATTATCTAGCTTTCCATGCTCATCGACGGCAATATTTCCATCACTACTGTAGCTGGAGTGGCGGTGAAGCTAAACCTGTTACCATCTTCCGTGATATTGGGTATTCAATCATCACCTTGCCTTGGATGGAGGAGGTTTCCTGTTAATTCCCCCAACTTTTGAGCAAGGGCCTTCTGCTGCTCGGAGCTCAAGTATCTGATTTCTGAAGAAGACAACTTCGTGACGAGAAACTTCAATGGTTGGTTATACCACTATGAGTTTATAAGAATCCTTTCAGAGAGAGTACCTGTAACCGCGAGATCTCAAAGCTTTTGGTCACCATCCAAGATATCGCCCAGTTGAACATCTGGGAAGTCTCTATCTACTGTTGGTGTAATATCAGAGTCATGGTATCCATTTAAGGAGCCAGAGTCATTCAAGGGCTCATAAATGTAATTGATGTGTGTAGATGTAAGAGAAATGGGGCCTGTCTGGTTGGCGTCTGGGTATGTAGATGCATGGCGATATAGAATGGAAAGCGCAAAACTGCCAAGAACTGCTAAAGTTGGCGCGACGTATCTACAGGGTATAAATGCATTACTGATATACATTCCTCACAATGGGGCATGTGCTGATTCATATGGTGGATCTTGAGGGAATAAAGTAGTGTGACCAACGTTTCTGTCTTTAGGCATCACGTGTTTAATTTTTGGATACCTAATTCAGGTATGTTGGTCACCATAACACGGGATGCTGCTTCCCCCTCACAGGCTATCCCTCTATAGACTATAGCATGCAGTATCTTGCGAGTCAGAACAGATAAGGCTGTTGGCTGTTGTGATAGTGTGCCCTACTATAGTTCGCAATATATGTCTGTTACTTCCTTTTTAATGACTTGCCTTTATCTATCACTCCGTGAAGTTAGAGGAATCCTATACGAGATTGGGAGAGGCTGTGTTGTCTGACCCTGAGCAGCAAGCCTTTGATGGAGGTTCCCATCGTTGCTAGATAGATCAAACAACCACATCATGTAACCGCAAAAAAAGGGCAGCAGCCATCAGTGGAAATGTAGCCATGCCACCGGTGTTCCTCCTCACACCTCAGTATTTTTGTATGAAATATATGTATATATATACTCTTATCGAAGTGCACTAGTCACCTTTAAACCCATTATCGATTGTCATAGGGTCAGTAATGAGGATAATGGCATTTATATGAATGCACATATCTAAGCATATTGAATATTTTGTTTAAGTTACCCACCATGCTTGACGTTCTTTTTGGAGTTTATGATACAATGAAGACACAACCGCACGGAGGTATCGAGAATTTCAGTAGGCGCTACTCTTTCCAGATCTCCAATATTCCTCAGTTCTTGGGCTTAGTCTGTCTGACGACCAGGAAAGGAGTTTCTCAAAGTTCCCACATGTATGCTCTCCCTCAAAGCCCGGGCCCTACATGTTTGCAGATGGTGAGCATATGAGCCGCAGTGCACACATGTCAGAATAACACATGATTGGCTGGCACAAATAGTTGATGTAAAGTTGATCGTGGACATCAGCCAGCGTGGGCGCCGATAGACCAATTCCAAGTAGACCTTCTCGCTGTCGCTACGAGAAAGCATGGATCCATATTCGAGAATTATTGCTGCCTGACATGCCGTGACACAAGCTCCCATGATCCAGACTAAGAGCGCCAACCCAAGGCTTCCCGCGGTCTGCGCCACCACCCCCGGAGTAGCAAAGACGCCCGTCCCGACCATCCGGGACATCATAAGCATGTAGGTAGATTTCGAGGATACATGTTGACCATTTGAGACGCGTTGAAGTGGCTCACAGCCGCCCAGGTCGTTACCGCTTCCCACTGCAGGGGGGTAGTCTAGTAGAGGGGTCTGTTCGTCGACCATTCCCCTTGTCTCCCAGTTGCTGTAGGTTGGTTTCTCTGGGTAGATGTACTGGGTAGACACCACCTTGCTGTCTGTAATATGGTTTTGGTCCTCCTGATCTTTGACATGTGAAAGATAACCCAGTGAGCTTGTGGAGAAGGTCCCAATTCATGTGCTGGTCGGCATCCTGCAGGCCTCATGCATGAATCGGCTAATGAGAGCTGATGGTGACTTCCCGAGCGGCCACGTAATTAATTTGTACGATGCCGGTAGGATCGTAAAGCTCGAGAGCAAGACCCGAGTTATAGAACCACAACTTTCAAGTCACATGTATTTGTGAAAGTTCAGTATCTTATACGCAACTGAAGACTTCTGTATGTATTCGTATACCTTCTACCTAGCGCCGTTCTTTCTACCTTCAGCTTCAGTCCTATTCACCAATTATGTTGGTCCGCGTATATTGCAACCTGTTAGTATCGAACTAAATGGATGCAGAGATACCAGTACTATGTGAGATCCGAATAATATGGAGAACAGTATAGAAGTATTGGTGGTAGAAGATGCATTGTAGTGTAACATATAGACCATATCAATCTTGTTCATAGCCTGAGCTTGCAACTTACACCCGAGTAAAATATGAACATAGCAGTCTATGGATCATACATAAGAAGACACTACAGAAGATCGGTTATCGAAGATGACTTCAAAGCAATGACAGACCCTTGGTGCCAGACGTCAAGTATAGATACTGGCACCCGCGAACATCGCCACCAATCACAGTATCAGCCAATTTGTTCTGGTTTAGCTGCTCCACCACATTTGTGCTGCTGTTGGCCACATATACTCGTGTTCCCATGTTAATCACACTGCATGTGACTAAAGCGAAGATATCCTTTTCATCCACCGCTACATACATACCCAACGCACTACCGAGACCTTCAGTAGGGACTTCTGCCAGAGCGCTATTTTTGTCAGCAATGAAATATGTACAGGTAGAACCGGACTATACTCACATAAACTTGGAACCAACGGGGACATTGGTCAATCTTGACGACCGGAGGTTGCTAACTCCCGTCTGCTCCATTTCGGTCGGGTTGTAGTTGAAGTATCCACCGAAAACATCCCCGATAAGCACTGAGTCTGAGGCAGCAGCCTCCACGGCAAAGGGGGCACCGCTGCTGGCATCAGGATCACCATACGGGGCAAGGTAGATTCGATCTTCCTTGCCCGAGATCATGATGGCCGTCTCGTTAATGTCCGATACTAGCTTGTAGGAGAAACCTGTAACAGGCTCGACCAGGCTTTCATTGGCAGCAACAGGAATCAGTGTTGGGGGCTGTGATGAAGTGCCGCCGTTGCCAAAGGTTTCATTGACAGCTTGTTCAGGATTCTCGAGCGTAGTGTTCGATTGGCGGGCTCCGATGGCAATGTTCCGGCTAGTCAAAGTGCTCTGTCTTGTGTCGGTAGATGCTTGGGAGGTACTGGAAATATGCAGTTAGCCAACTATTCGTTTGCCAAGTTACTATCGGCGGTTAGCATACCCCACGCATCCCAAAGGTTTACTCCATAGCTCGCGGAGGTCAATGGCATAGTCATAGAGAGCGCCCACACTAAGATAGAAGTAGTTTTGCACTACCAGGTTTATATCAATACCATTGCAGTTTGACGATAAGACTTTGCCAACAACCTGGAATGAAGGCTGGTCGAAGATGCCGGCGGTACGTTTCCATTTGCCGTTCAGCAGATCTATGCCGAACTCCAGACCGAGTGGCAGGCCAAAATCCAGAGTTACGGAAGCCTCAGGTCCGTCAAACTTGGCAATGGGCGTAAACTTGGTATCGAATCCGCTTAGCTTATTATTGTCCTGGTTGACTAAATCCAAGTGTACCTCACCGGGGGAGACCTCAAATTTGGCTCCGATGAGAACGTCTGCCTGGGCCTGGAAATAGATGTCAATAACAGCACTGAGCGATACTTCGGGTCCGATACTGATAACACCGGGGATCTCCAGGTTGACCAGGTTCTTGGCGAGAAGCTGCTTCTTGTAGCCCTCAATCTTCTTTTGGCCCTGCAGCTTCATGGCCAGCGCTAATTGCGAATCCCATGACGCGCCGGCTTTCAGATAGCCAGTTTTGAGACCGTCATTGATGCTCCATCCAATGTGACCAGAGACTGACACGTCGCCCTTGGCATAGCAGTTCTCACAACTCAGCTCGCCGGGGAAGACGCCGCTATCAGCAATCACTAGGCCTTCACCTTCGCCAAATAGACCAGATGTTGTAGGAACCGTCTGTGTACCCTTACCACCAATATTCCAGTCCTGACTGACTGATGCGCCAAGACTCCATTCATATCCTAGGGGATCCTGGATTAGGCTGCCGATCTTCTTGCCCAAATCGACCACCTTTTTGACGACCGGCTCAACATAAGTATGGTAGCCTTCCACAACGGCCTCTTTCACTTGCTTGTAATTATTAGCCTCGTTCTTTGAGTTTGGGATGGTTAGAAATCATCTCAGAAAATGCATACCGTGACTTTCTCCTTGATCCAACCAATGGGGTCCCATCTCCGCTGAAGTACTCCCCTCTTTTCAAGAGTCGCAGTGCCGTTATATTGGAGAGGGGCGGCCTCTGGGACTTCAGTGTAGTCCTCGGTAATCTTGATTCCAAAGAAGTCAGAGAGCTGTGCCGGATCATCGGTGATGTCCTCGGTGCTACTTGATGCGATCAAAGCATCACCTGCCATGCGACGGGCTTTTCCTCTAGAGTTCTCCACTGGGGTTTTGTAATGACCGAAATCCAGGTCAAATTCCTTTGTCGCCTGCTCCAGGGGCACTTCCGTCACATTGGCACGCATACATCGCTGTCCCGGTTGGAATGTAATAGAGGAGACGTTCCAATAGCTTCGTGAGCCATGCATATAGTCTCCGCAGCCAGGGTGATATGTCGCTAGGACGAGTGGCGATTGACTTGTATTCCAATCTTTACTAGCCTGGCGCTCTGCTTCATCAGAGTTGAAGCATATATTCATACCACTTGTGGTGCAAGTGACACTGGAAATGTGCGCTGAATGGTCTAGAATTACTGTCGGGTGGTTGAAGTTCGAGAACATATGGCCGAAGGATGATGGGTCATTTTCTGGTTGACTAGTCAGTCGGGATTATATTCACCAACAGGAGAAGAAATAGAAGTCCCACCAGTCCTGCCACCCTCACGGTAGTGGAGAGCCTGTGCCATCCTTGGGACCAAATGAGTTGGATCACTAGCATTATGGCCAGGAGGGTGCGCAGGCAAGAGAGTGCGCGATGCCATTGAAGCCTCGGCAGTCGAGGTCGCAAGGCCCAAAAGTCCTAGAGCAGAGGCAATGAACTTCATAGTGAACATCATTATCCAAGGCAGAGTGCGAAACTAAAGGGTGGACAACGAGGGGTTCGATCATGCTTTTATATTTTGTAAAGAGGACCTCTTTCTGCCGGTATTTCTTTTTATGGTCTATCAGCCCGGGCCTCAATGCCTCAGTCAAAGTAGAGATTCAAGAAAGGGTCTGAAGGGCTGCTCAGCAGCTGATCCAGCTGTGATGGAATTACTAGCTCCCTTGTCACACACGCAGATGCAGGAGAGTCACATCAGAGTAGTGGTTGAATAGCCAGTTAGTGTGTGCCGGGATCTTGGTCAAATTACAATTTCGGTCGCAGATCGGTGGGGCGCTATGATTTAATAGTCAATTATCAGACAGATCATAGATAGTCAATTTCTCAAACTAGTCTCAATGATATTATGATGATTATTCTCCACACGGATTTCCGGACAAGGCGAGAAGCCATACTTTCCACCGTCACAGATCGTCATTTCCATGTATATATGAAGAACAACTGCTATTCCAACAAAACTATTCGAATTCCGATTTCATCTTCACATACGAAAAGCCAAATTTACCCTAAGATATCACTTCAAATTTTTGTCATTTGGACCTAATAAGTCCACCTTTATCGCAAACATACATTCTCCTCCAACATTCAGCCGCGGTGTAGTGTGGGAACTTTAGGTTTCCTATTTCCTGCTCATAGTACACCCCCATCATCACATAAGGAGTAATATACAGGTTGAGCACTAGTGATGCGATGCATAATAGCATGGAGACATGTCTAGCACATATTGAACGATGTCGTGAAATCTAGCGTGTGACAAGAAAACTGGTCATTTAGTTGCAGTGTGATTTGAAAATTGCTCATAGTCATTGCGGCCCGCACGGCTTGATCCCCAATTTCAGCTCGGGATGACTCCGGCTATAATGATTAAAACAACTAGAATTTGCATTTACAGCTGCTCCGGTTTGTTGAAAAGGGGTGGGTAGAGCAGGTCTTGAGTCAGACCTAGGCCCAATTAGGAATGGGTTGCTCAGCTAACAGGATCCGGGATTTGGACCTCTTTAGTTTGTATCACCACCACTCACATAACTACTTCTTAGATTATGCAAAGACTGCTAGCAGAATACATTATCCTACCGAGATATATCTAGCCCTAGGCTGTGCCATATTCCTTTGACTGATGATGTCAAGATATACAGGAATGGAAGCAAGTATCGATACCTTGAATAATACCGGGCTGGCGAAATTGAGTGGCCTACTATACGACCATTGATAGCCTTATTTGACATTATCAGAGACGGCGTATTCCTAATGCCTGAGATCTAATTTCTCTCGCAGAATGTGTTATATGTATTAATACATATGAGCGTCTGAAGTAGACCCAGCTTGCACTAATTACGATGTAGAGAAAAAAAGGTGCTCGTATTTCAGCCAGAAATTGGTCATATCTGCTGTGGGCTGAACATTGATAGTATACGGTGTTTCTTCGGAGTACTTCCAAATCTGTATCATCAAATTTGTCATTATCCTAATCATGATTCTGAAAAACAGCCTTGACTGTTTACTTACCTGGTTGTGGAATTTATTCTGACCTTTTCAAGGAAAAGGCAATAGGTTCCATAGCCTTGTCATCCGTATTGACTATTATATGATCAGTAGATAATAGCTAACATACAACTTAAACATGTATCTCTTATCTTAAAAACATCGTGATTTACAACCTAAGTGCTGCTCAAGTAGTTATAGTCTATTATCTCATATGCCTATGATAAAATACTACGTGATGAATGTTTCCGGCTTACTGGATCCCTTGCTAATTTCCCCACAGTGTTGTTCGAAGTCCTGTCTCTACTGAATAGTGAGTACTTAGTACGAAGAACGTCGACAAGCAGGATTTTGGATAATATACTGCATACTGTGAAAATCCGAGGGAACAGTTGAAAAAATTGGCTTCGTATCCGTGGGTACAGGTGCATACTAATCTGCTAAAGGTAAAAGTTTGTTATTAAGCTCGCACACAATGGTACTATATCTAGTTATTCCAATTATGCTGGTATTACGTATGTCTAATCTGCTTTCTCCGCAAACACAAATGAAATATCCCTGCTCGTGGTTCGTCCATAGACGATAACATATATGATTAGTAGGAAAGGTTGAGAGGATTATAAACCTGTTGTTTAGTCGCACTGTTTCTGTGTATGTATCAATTCGTCCATTCAGCAGTAATTCGAGATATTTGTATTTCGGGCGATAACCTCAACATATTGCCGACATGGTACAACTCCATCAAAGCTCTTACGCCAGTTGAGCTAAGCTCTGCGACCCAGTTCCAAGTCTGCGTCCTAGTACAAGGAATTCACTGCCTGAGTTCATTGCTACACAGCAGCCAGCGCTGACTGGGACAGACCACACCGGTTGAGCACGAGGGGATCCGAAACCTTCTGCTTTCTCGGGCGACTAATAGCTGTGAAGCCATGTGCCTGGGCGCAGAGGTCTTCAATTTGGACGAGGACCCTCGCCGCAGCATCACCATGGAGCAGCACGCCGTTCTCTAACGACCGGCTGTGGTGAACCATGTTGCGCTGAGTTGGCCATAGGTATGAGGTGCCAAGGTACGCAAAGCCCCCATCAGCAATGATCGCGTTAAAGTGTGGGCGTGGCTCCCACCAACTCGAGTTTTCTACCAGTAGGTTGGAACCACGCAGCATCGCGCCAGCCAGCAACAGCGCGGAGACAGGGTCAAGCTCGCGAACCTGAATTATCACCTGGACACCACTTGCGGCGCGATCAATCAGGGCTTGGGTTATCGCAGGATCAACCAGCTCGGAGACACTGACAATCAGTTGGTCAGTGGCGCTGCGGATTAACGCGTCCTGCGCGCGGCTGATGTATGTCAACCTCGTAACTGGGTCGTTGATCACCACTCCGAGCTTCGCTAGCTCGGCAGCGAGCTCTGCGCGGCGCTCGTCGGTTGCCTTGCCATTTATTACCTCATCTGTATAGAGCTGGAACTTTCTAGCAGCAGTCTGCGGAAGCTCGATTGAAAAGTCTGCCTTATTTATGGGCTGTGTGTCCATGACGGCAGCGGTGCTAAACAACACCTTGCTGTCGATGACGATACCCTTGGCATGCATTACCTGGCGGGTTGGACAATCGGTGCCAGTGAACATATTGATATGGATGTCATTGACCGCGAGGATCTTGAGGTACTCGCAGAACTCTAGCGTTTCCTGGAACTCTGATGGCCCAAGCTTGGACGCGACGATTGACATCTCCGCATCTATGTTCTGGAGTCGGAATCCGACCAGGGCATCAAGCACACCACGGGCATCGCCTTGGTTGCATACTGAGAGGTTGAATATGGTCAGCTTGCGCGGTGCCCCGGCAATACGCATATACGCATCGGGCTGGATATTATCGCGGATGAACTTCTCGTACACCGCAAGGTGCTCGGCGCCATTGCTCAGCCGCGGTGATGTGCCAGAGGGCAGACAACCGAACAGAGGATCCTGGAGATGCCCGTAGCCCGGATCCGGGCCGACAATAGTCGCCTGGCTGTGAAGCTGGTCCTCGCGAAACAAAAATGCGTCAACATCAAAATTGGCGCCAAAGTCCAGTGACATTACTGTCCTGTAGCGCGGCGCAACCTCGGCCGGCTCGATTGCGATGCACTGCTGATTGCCGTTCCGATTTACGCCCGTCGCGACAAGCCTGCCGCCATCGCCCACTTTGATGGTGTACGGCCCATCAAGTTCATGGTCACAAAGATGGGCTTCGAAACACTGGCCAGGCCAGAGTGGCATGCGCACCTCGGCCCGCGATGCAACTGGTGCCATACGCATCATGCCGTGCTTTACCAAGCCTAGCTTGTGCTCACCGTTTGTGCCAGGAAACTGTACGCACATGGTATCAGCACTGGTGATGGTAAGAACTCGCGACGGATTACGCGGATCAATCAACTCGAGTGTTGCATCCAGAGGTCCGGTCGTGGCCTTCAGTGATACTACGCGATAGCGGATACCTTTGAACATTGCTGGGCGGCCGGCAAAATGCTCAATCCGCACATCCTGGTGCATAGCGCGCTGATCACGAAGCACCAGCTCGCCCTCTAGGCTTACCCCCATGACATCGTACAGCTGGCCGCCAAGCTCGACCGGCTTGGGGGCACGCGCCCGGTCGTCCCGGGGTAACGCGTGTGGTGGGAGCATCAGATCATTGAACCCACCCATCGCAGATGAGCCGAACAGGCATCCTGTGAATTTCCGGATATCAGAACCGAGCCACTGGTCGGTGAACAACACCTTTACAAGAACATGAGATTAGGCTATAGTGTGCGTTGAAAGCTTAAGATTTGTTTAAGTTATGTGTTCTGTCTTTTAGAGGGCCGAAGCTTCATAGCCAAGACTTCGAAGAGCCCGCCTTGGGATGATAAGGTCATGATTCCATAACTTAGCTCCAATGAAATGAACAAATGGTGATACTATTAATCAATATATAATTCTAGAATCAACCCACATGCCAATACCTAGATTTCATTGAATCATAGACTGAAATAGATCGCGAAGAGAATGCTGTCCACGGATAACAATGTTCTAAATGCCTCCAGTGTCTGCAAGCGGTAACTGGAACTGTGGCATGACCAGGCCTGACAGTGAAGTTTGGGATAATCCAAGAACAGCCTAGAGAACTATCTGAGTATGTAGGCCCAAGTGAGGTCATTATGATTCATTATGCTTTCGCTGGCATATTATTATTATTCTTCGTATTATTATTATTATTGAATTGTCCTCAAATACAGCGCAACTATGGTACTCTTGCTGAGTCGCTAACGGCCAGAAGAAGTCCGCAGAGACACTTCCCTGGCACTTGCTAGCATTTCTCAACCTTTGAGCAATACTGTCAATCCGTTGCCCATACACATCAAAGAAGTGGTTAAGGAAAAATGTTTGACAAGTAATGATTCTACTATATTTATCTAAATCAATTCAAGGACCTGAATTTCGTTCTACTGAGATATGGGGGGGATCATGGCCTATTCCTAACACATTAAATAATATCTGTCATCAAACTTTCCCTGTCGTAATTTCTTATCCTCTTCTTCTTCTTCCTTTCTTTTTTTTTTTTTTTTTTTCTTTCTCTCTCATTTCGATTTATGTTTACGGGATGTTTAATAGGAATGGAATGATAACCAACCATGACCAATTTAATTCTTATTGTTTCTACTTTCATGATGAGGTACAGGAAACGGCACTAATAATAAGATAATATACTCTATCATAATGTTATTTGGGTATTGATTGCATAATGATGACATCAAGTGGTAAGTAAAGTTTGTTTTTACTTATATTATTGAGGAGGTTAGTGGGGCTTCGGCCCTATTTTGTTCCGGTCCTGGCGGCAGGAGTGTCTTTCTTACTTCCAGAGAGTTATATTCTAGTAGGGAAATCTTCACAACGGGACAACAGTCAAATGATGTCTGATAAGTTTAAAAGTAGTATCATTCGATAGAACTCTTCACAGGACATATAATAATATAACTTTTATTTCTTCAATCAATTATTCTGTGTAAGAGCCAATCAAATAATCATATTCAGCGTGTCTAAACATGATAGAATAATCGAGCTATCAGGGTAAAAGTCATCGGGATGACATACTAAAATAGTTATAAGAGTTATGAAATTATTAGTAAAGGTTCTATATCTTCCTGATACTTATAAGATGTTGATATTTTTATAAGAAGCTACTAATTTCTCAAAAATCAGTCTATTTTAGATATGGTAAACGGGTGAGTCGGGCGAGCTTTAGAGGATCAGGAACCTGTCTGTTTAAGCTTTGAGCTCTGCTTGGCCAGGCTTAGCTTAGTATTAATACTTATTACTGGATAAGAGGGCTCGCCCGTGAGAACTTATAAAGATTTACTAAAAAATTAAAATATATTCTAGTAGGGAAATCTTCACAACGGGACAACAGTCAAATGATATCTAATAAGTTTATAAGTAGTATCATTCGATAAAGCTCTTTACAGGGATTATAATAATATAATTTTTATTTTTTATTTAATTATTCTGTAGAGTTAATAATATTTAAAGATAGCAGTATTTTCTTCTACATATAATTAGCATATATAACAGAAATTTAAAGTAAATTAGTACTTTTTTCTACAGACTCTAAGTCTAATTAAGTTTATTAAGCATTATAAAAATAAGTATTATAAAAATAAATATTATAATAATAAATATTATATAAAGTAATATATTAATATTTTTATAATAGATTCTAAGAATTCTATATATTCTATAATCTAGAAAGCTCAAATTATATATACTTCTTATTTAATATTAAAATATAATATTACTAGTAAAGTAATAAAATGAATAAAAAGTAAGTAAAATAAATAAATAAAAATATAAATTATAATAAAAAAGTAAATTATATTAATAATTATCTAGATATTTTAGTAAAATAAAATAAAAGATTATTTATAGATAACCTGAGTACCTGGTATATAATTATATTTATTTTAGTAATTATCTTAATATTTAGTACTATTTACTTTATCTAGGTTATATACTTTCAGAAGTATTTTTTTCTATAAAAAATATTAATATATCATAATCTGTATATATACTTATAATTACTTATAAGAAAGCAGAGGTTATATTCTAATAGGGAAATCCTTATAACAGGACAACAGTTAAATGAAGTTAAATTAGATTATAAGTAGTATTATTTAATAAAGCTCTTTATAAAAAATATAATAATATAACTTTTAATTCTTTAATTAATTATTCTGTAATATTATAAGTATTTAAAGATAGAAGTATTCCCTTCTGAATATAATTAATATATATAATAGAAATTTAATCAGATTAATATATATAATAAAAATTTAAATTAGATTAGTACTCTTTTCTACAGACTCTAAACCTAATTGAGTCTATTAAATATTATGAAAATATATTATAATAATAAGTGTTACCCCAATAAATATTATATAAAGTAATATATTAATATTTTTATAATAAATTCTAAGAATCCTATATATTCTATAGTCTAGAAAGCTCAAATTATATATATTTTTTATTTAATATTAAGGCGTGATATTACTAGTCAAGTAATAAAATAAGTAAATAATAAGTAAAATAAATAAATAAAAACATGAATTACAGCAAAAGAATGAGTTATATTAATAAATTATAAAAAAAAAAAAAAAAAAATTTATTATTATATTTTAATCTCCATAATCCTGCTGAATAAATAAATAGTGGAGTAAATAATAATATATTTATAATAATAAAAATTCTTTTCTTACCTCCGTGATTACTATAGGAAACAGATAGTTAAATAGGATTTAAAAAATAACTAGATATTATATTTATTTATAATATTATTTTTTTTAGTATATCTCGTCCTCTCGCCCCTCCGTGCGGATTCTAGTAGGGAAATCCTCACAACGGGACAACGGTCAAATGAAGTCAGATCAGGTTATAAGTAGTATCATTCGATAGAGCTCTTCACAAGAAATATAGTAATATAACTTTTATTTCTTTAATCAATTATTCTGTGGTACTATAAGTATTCAAAGATGGGAGTATTCCCTTCCGAATATAATTAATATATATAACAGAAATTCAATTAGATTAGCATATATAATGGAAATTTAAATCAGGTTAGTACCCTTTTCTACAAACTCTAAACCCAATTGAATCTATTAAGTATTATAAAAATAAATGTTATAATAATAAGTGTTACCCCAATAAGCGTTACATAAAGTAATATATTAATATTTTTATAATAAATCCTAAGAATCCTATATATATTATAATCTAGAAAGCTCAAATCATATATACTCCTTATTTAGTATTAAGATGTGATATTACTAGTCAAGTAATAAAACAAGCAAATAACAAGTAAAACAAACAAATAAAAACATGAATTACAGCAAAAGAGTGAGTTGTGTTAGTAAAATATAGAAAAAAAAAAAAAAGAAGAAAAATAATTCTATTATTATATTTTAATCTCTGCAATCCCGCCGAGTAAATAAATAATAAAGCAGATAGTAGTATATTTATAATAATAAGAGCCCTCTTCTTACCTCCGTGATTACTACAGAGAATGGATAGTTAAACAGGACTTAAAAAATAACTAGATACTATATTTATCTATAATATTATTTTTTTTAGTATACCTCGTCCTCTCACCCCTCCGTGCGGCTGGTGAGGTAGAAAGAGAAAGAGATTATAAAAGAAAGAAAAAAAAAAAAAGATAATTTTATTATTATATTTCAATCTCCGCGATCCTGCTAAGTAAATAGATAATAGAGCAGATAACAGTATTCTTATACTACTAAAATTCCTCCTCAGAAATTGGATGGTGGAGCAGATAACAATACTCTTATAATACTAGAATCCCTTCTTAGAAAATAAATGATAGAATGGGTGGCAGCACCCTTACAGTACTAGAATCTCTTCTCAGGAATTAGATAATAGAGCAGGTGATAATATTCTCATAATATTAGAAATCCTCATACTCAGAGATCCCCCAGCTATTTAATATACTTTATCAGTTTATCTCTCTGCGGGGCTGCTGAGCTTGCATTTCAATAATTATCTTTAAATCTCCGCAATTTCTGCAGCAAACAGATGGTTGAACAGGGCTTAGAAAGTAACCAGATATTATATTTACCTGTAATACTATCTTTCTTAATATATCTTGTCCTCTCGCCCCTCCGTACAGATGGTGAGGTAGAAAGGAGAAAAGATTATAAAAAAAAAAAAAAAAAAAAAAAATAAATCTTATTATTATATTTAAACTTCCATGATTCCTGCAGGACTCTAATAATAGAGCAGGTAGCAATATTCTTATAATATTTAAAGCCCTCTATCTTCTTAATATACTTTATTAACTTATCTCTTCGTGGGGCTGCTGAGCTTATATTATAATAATTATCTTTAAATCTCTATAATTTCTGCAGGAAATAAATAATAAAGCAGGTAGCAGTACTCTTATAATATTATAAACTATTTATTTTTCTGGTATACTTTGTTATCTTGTCTCTCAGTGTGGCTGGTAAGGTACAGAAGAGTAGAGATTATAAAAGAAAAAAAAAATAATAAAAATCTGATTAAATAAATAGCTATTATTCTGGATATTTTATAATAATTTACATCTTACAAAATTATCTTAGAGAAAATTATAAACTTTATATATTATATTAGTTTCCCAGACATTGTACTCTTCTTTTCAAATAAAATCAAAGTAATA